TTTATCACAATTGCTTCCCCTTTTCTTCCTTTAAATTTAATATCTATGTCGTGAGCTCAGGTTAAATAATGAGTGAACTGATTATATTCTGTCCTTTCACATTTTTTTTTCTTTTTTTTTTATTATTATTATATTCAAGAGTATAAAAATTCGTGAGCAGGAATATGCTAAGCAGCTGGACAGTTAATAAATCTTTTTTTTTTTTTGCTTTAGTTTTTGCATAATTGATATCCGGGTAAATTTTTTTTCTTTGATTTGGTACATTTAATTATTTGTTCAATAGTTTAATTAATACTATAGCCAAAACTACTGTACGTATTTATACACGAACTAAACAAAAAAAATTGTTAATTTCGGTAGAGAACGAAGTAACGAATTCGTATTAGCATCAATTTTTAGTGCTATCCAAAATATATTTAAATATAATTTCTTTAACGACAACTGGTACAGTTTTTTATTATTTTTTATAATAAAATTTCTTATTTATCTATCTATACATAAATTAACCAAGAAACTTGGGATATTTTTTTTTGTTTAAATAAACAATAAGCATAATTACAAATCTATCTATTAACATGCACTTACCATCAAATATTTTTAATTCACGTCATGTCAAAAAAACCACCCCATTAATTTTGTTCTAATAAATTCTCAACGCCTGCAAACTAAAATAGATATATATTTTTTTTTATGAATTAGATTTTAATTGAATATTTTAAAATATACATAGAATATGGCACTGCCTGAAAATTTAATATTAACGAAATGGGATTAGTCCTGGAATGGTGCATCCAAAATTTCTTATCAGTGTGTTATCAGCGCCTTACTATAGAATCATGTTCCGACTCATTCTTATCAAACTGCATGAGTGCAAGATTGTTTTTATTCTATTTCCAGTGAAAGTTTATTTATGGATTATTTACTATATACGCAATTTTATATACATTTAGATAATGCGGAACAATTAAAATCATGAATTAATAAAAATACGAGCTCGCTTGAGAGGAAACGGAAATAAACAATAGTTGATAAGACCACGCCTCACCTTGATAAACTTGTCACCTTCAGCTTAAACTTTAATCAAAGTACCTGTTAATGAAGCGATGATCTCTATCTGTAATACTGTATTTAACAATCTATAAAACTGATAGTTAAAGTTGGTGTTAATTGTGTGTATTTTAATTAGTAAACGTACGTTGATATATTTAATGGACTGAATTGGCATTTTCTTTGTCATTGAATTCGAATACTTTTAATGTGAATACAACCAAAAAAAAAAATCATAGAAAATAAAACATAAAATAATAAACAATTTTAATTAATAGATGTGGAAATAATTAAATAAGATATACATTTTAGATATTGGTGTAGCTAATATTTTGTTTATTTAACCAAATTCAACATAAATTATAAATAGTTGATCACATCACCAACATTGATAAAATATTTTTATAAAATTATACAGCTAGAAAATGTGTAATTCAAAACGTTAAAATAAAATACTAATGAAAATTATGATTAAAGTGCATTTATTTATTTATTTTACGAACGTAAATTAAATATTAAATATAAAAGAAATATGTTGGAATAAAAGAAATATATTTTTATTGGGGGGCCACCTATAATATTGTTTCGTGAATATAATATAGTTCTCCAAAATTATTGATAAAATGTTATCAATAATTTTAAGATTACTAATATAATTGTAATCACTACAGTATAAGACCACTACATTAATACAGATACAGTCATTACATTGTTAGATTGTTATCCAATCGTTAGGGTTTTACAATCGGTTATGACTCCTCCATTCACCGACTCGTTGAAATATTCATGAAGTGAGCCCCCTGTTTTCAGATTTAATTACGATGTTGGCGAATTTCCACCCTCTCTAAAATTTACGAGATCATCACTTTGATTCCTAATTAGTTCCGCTGCAGAGTAATACAGTAATTAATTAACTATTTGACAATCTGATGAATGCCAAATCTAAAAGTAGGCTGTTTATGATAAAATTGTCACCTCTCTTCTTCCCTATCTGTTGCAATAGTTAACTTGACAACTTAAGTATCAATATTTTATTGACATATGTTATTGATAAGAGTGAGCATGATAATTCTGAATATGTATTTTTATGTGTATTTATGAATATTATGTATTTATGAATATGAATTTTAAAAAAATTATACATAGTATTTTAACAATCTCAGTATTATTGTGTAAGGCTAGAATTGATTTTCTAATGTATAATGTGATTTTTATTTAGTTTTTATTATTTTTACATAATGTCAGTCTCTGTGTGAAATCACATAACTACAAAGAGTTTCAATTCAGGATTAATTTACTTTATTTTTATGTATCCTAGTTAATTGTCACCTTTCTCTACTAGGTAGCAGGTCAGTTGTTATTTCTTAATATTTTAAAACACTTAATTATTTAATTTATTTTTTTAAAAAATTTATTTCTTATAAAAAAGAGGGATTCGACAGTTATGCAATTTCACATTAAGACCGACGATATTTTTTATTACATATATCTAATATATTAAATAATGGATATAATTTTTTTTATCAAGTAAAATATTTTAAAATAGCTAATTGTAGTATTATTTGCATTTGATTATTAACTTTTATAAGGAGTCGCGATTACGTTTTTTATAGATTTACAAATAAATATAAATAAATATCTTAAATGGATAGTTCAAGATTAATTTCCTTCTTATTTCTGTATCTATACCGTTATAATACAAAAGAAGTTTTAATGTTCTCCATTTGACGTATTCGTTTAATACAAATATTTTAGACTTTTCTGCAAATATCCTTTATTTTACATTACTTTAGAATCCAAGAGTTGACAAGAACGGGTGCGCATCGTAATGATAGTATTATTATTTTTTAAATTACATGATGAAGCTAGAGTTCAAAAATGCCTTTATTCTAAGTATTGATCAATATTTCATAATATGTTTGCTGTCAATATTCACAATATGTTAGATTAAGTAATAAGGTTGGAGTGGTACACCATAAGATTGATTATCAATTAAAAGTAGTACAGCCTTCATTTTTAAGATCCCTAAAAGATAAATGAGTAATTACCGCAGTAAAGAAGCACTTATTTAGTAAATACAAAGAAATTAACACACAGAAAAGTTGTGTACTGTCAAACATTATATAATCAAAATGAAGATAGCATGAAAATTACATTTTTTTTTTATTTTATTTTTTTTTTTTTGGTGAGTGGGAGAAGAATATTGGGATGCAAATTTAAAAAATGTTATCAAAATATAATATTTCGTCTATCTTCAAAAGTTTGGTACGATACACAGGAAATACACCAAGGGCTAACTTGGCTGAAAAAGCAACAATGTTGGGGACACCCCCGTACTCCAATAAATCCCAGACTTGCTAAAGGGCACACCCCCTGGAATTGAGAGCCCTTATCTAAGAGGGACATTGTAGCCCTGCCATTAAGGAGTGTATTGCCCCAGAACCTGCTCCTAGATCCGGAGTTATGTTGCCTGGGGTGCTGATGATAATGTGGGCATGCTCTGTCGGACCTCTCCGGGATTACTGGAGGTTACTCTGTTCGCCAATCTTGTCATTCCTGGCTCTTCGGCATATGTGCCATTGATATCTCGGATGTTTCTTATCTTCTTCTAACCAACTTTAAAAAATAAATTTATAAAAAAAGATTTTAGGAGAAGTTGGTCAGGGGTGCGATCAATAGACATATTCTATATGCTATAGTAGTATTTGTTTTAATGGCCAACGTTTCGACCTACGCTGTTAGGAAGGAGTTAAGAGACTGCAAACGTTAGGAATTAAAATAAACGCTACTATAATATAAGTATGTGTTTATTGAACGTAACCTCACCAACTCCACATTAAAATATAATTACAGTCTTATTATCTTTATACCATTATGAATATAGATTAATTTTGTGATCGAAAACTTTTTTTTTTTTTTAAACTTATTTATTAAAAAATATTACAATCTGTCTCTAGAACACTTAGAATAGAGTTCACAGATCACACTCTATGTACAATAAATAAAATAAAATTTTCTTTTTGAATAATTAAAGACAACCGAACAATGTGTTTAAAACATAAAAATTAGGTATACGCGAAATTTGACAGAGAAAAGTAATAAAGATAAACGGCAACAATTTTTTCATCAACTTGCTTGCCCTTTAATTTCGATATGATAATTTAAGTCTTAATTCAACGATAGATTTTGTACATGTAATTTAAACCGGTAATCACTAATAATAATAATAACGAAGGCTTAGTCAACAGAAAAGGTCTTTTTTTAAAAATATTATCTTAGGTTATTAAACTTTTAATAACCTTCCAATAGTCCAAAACACACAATACCCTCAATTAAAATCAGTCAAGATCAGACAAAAATATGTTCCCGTCTACGTTTCAGTCAACCCCGGACACGTACGACCAATCTGCTAAACGACGATTAATCTTGTTAATTCTGTGTTCATCCTACGATTTGAAGTGTCCATTAAAAAATAAAAAAAACATAACTGTTATTGCACAGTGCAAATAATTCAAGTGAATAAAAATTATTAGTTAACTTTAGCATTATTAATATTATTAGCAATATTTTGAGGTAAAAGAAAAATACATTTTTTTTAGTCTGTTTAGTTTTGCTTTATAACAAGAAAGTACTGTGGATGGAATAAAATATTTTAGCTATGATTTTTGTCAAATACAGAAAATAATGAATCTTCCAACAAAAAAGTTTCACTCGTTATAAATTTATTAACTGGAGGTAATAAAATGCTTCAACTAAATGACAAAACAATAACTATATGAAAGTTAAATGGGTTGCTATAAAAATGATTAATTGTAAAAAACGGTTTGATAAAGAATCATGGACCTAAAACATACTGCAGACAAGTGACGCAACTATGAGTGACCAGACACTGCGAGTTACAGCAATTAATCACAAACGGCTGGATATCGATCACTTCCGCGACCGTTCGAGATATGGGAGCTAACTCCGTCACACTCCAATACCCAGTAAGTCGTACTTCCACTGACAAACAAGTGTAATTATTATTATTATTTTTTTTTTTATTCAACCTATATAAAATGAATGTTTACCTATTTTTTTTCTCTTTCAATATACGATCATCAGTGTACAAACAATAATAAAAGTAACCACCGCCCATTCATAAACAAAAACAAATAGGGATGAATGGAGCTAACTCCTAATGAATTGGAATCATAATAACCGAATTATTAATACCGTGGAGGTTTTACTTTTGTATACAGATGAGTCAAAACTGAACCGAATAAATCAAAATTAAATATTTACAAAATTTCTTTAAAGAGTAAATGCCGCCATTGAAGTCGGTGGAACGCAAGCTTAGATGTACACGCAATAGTTAAAAAAAAAAATACTATTTTTAATTGTTTTTATCAATGAAATAATTCATTCTGAGATCTCCGGGTTCATTCATTAAGAAATCGGACAAGAAAATAATTTTTTACCATAACGAAACTTATTTGAAACGAACCATTGTGGCTTGAATATACCGTGACTAATTAAATAAACAAGAATAAAATAGTTATAGTAAATGAAATCGCAATTCAAATTTTATTATTGATTATTATTTGATTAGTGAATTACTGATTACAGAGATTAAGTAAAATTTTTTCTCCAACTGTGATATTTGTGACTAAATGGAATACTGAGAAATTATTTTGGACGGATTATATTCAATAATATAAATCAGGAATGTGATTAAATTCCTGAAGATACCTAAATTCGACGATTTTCAAGTGATTTTTCCAATAGTTAAAATTTTTTTATATAATTTCAATACCAGAAACAAATTTTTTCAGTACTCTTATTTTAAAAATATATATATACATAAATTTTGTTAACTCTTTTTACTAGAACTTTTTGTTTAACGTAGGTAATTAATTTCTTGAAATGGCAGGTATTGGTTTCAATGTTTGGTGACTATGAGTAAAATGTGTTTAACATAATGTTTTCAGTTCAAAGTGGGTTCTCAAAGCTGTAATTTATAAATTTTTCGAGTTTTCAAATTATTGAAGGGGGTTCGGAACTCTCCCTGAATCTCCCATTGTGACGCCCGTCACTATATGCAGTGCCATGAAAACTCGAATAAACCAGAGTTTAGTTGTTGAGGCAGGTAAAGACAATGGAGTAGCCGGACAAGATATGAATCTAAGATAGCGAGCAAGATTCCTCTCAGAGATCTAAGGATGCCGCTTGTTTGTGGAAGGATATCTCCTGTTTGCCGAGCTGTTAACACGGGAAACGGTACCTTATCTTATCCAGGTCTTCCTCAAATCTTTTCAACCCTTGTATTTCACTCGGGGGTAGAAGACAATCATGCTGTATCTGTTTGTCGGCAGACGATATGGCATTCCTTTTGTTATGTATTTACACTTGGTCTATTTGAACTAACAGTTTCTTTAATAGTTTAACAACCGGAACATTACTTTTTTTTTTTTACTTTAAAAGTAAAATTAAGTTGTTATAATTTATTCTTTATTGGGATCCATATTGTTTCAAAACGCTCACGGAATCTCACCTAATAATTTGAGTAGTAAAATTTAAAAACTGTCTAGCCGTGCAGTAGTGTTCAGAGGACAAACCGAAAATATTTGAAACATTTGAAAAATTAATTTTTGTTGCATAAGTACAATTTTGATTGATTTTAAGTTATGAATTCCTTCATAATCATGTTGTAATGAAGATGAGGATTTAATCATTTTTGGAATAGTAAATTAAATAAATTTTAAATTACTAAATTTTTAGGTTACTTGTTCTGATTTAGGATTTATTTGTATTTTTTTTTTAAAGGGCTTGGATTTATTCATTTTTAATATATAACTACACTTCCTTTGCAGAGAAAAGAAAGAAACTATATAAAATAAAATTTAGGACCGTAAAACGAAAAATAAATAAAAATGTAAGATAAAATAAAAATTTGTTTACAGAAATAATAATGCTTTTTGAGATACTTTTCTCGACACGTTTAATTTACTAGCTTAAATAAATGGTTTATAATTTAAAAAAAGAGTACATATTTTGGTGGTTTGAGTATTAAGCTCATATTACTAACAGAAACAAGTGTGGACCGATGAAAAAATATATATATATTTCTTCTGTTCATTTATCCTAATTTTGGTGTCTTGAGGTTTTATTTTTTACATAAATTAGGCCAATTATCACCAAACATTTTGTTGATACGCTATTTAATTCGACGTTCCGACCATACTAAGGGTCATTTTCAAGTCTTGATGAGTCCTCCGTTATATATTCATCATTAACGTCGCAATTAATTTGTTCAGTGAGCATTAAATTGTCATATATAACGGAGGACTCATCAAGACTTGAAAATGACCCTTAGTACAGTCGAAACGTCGAATTAAATAGCGTATCAATAAAATGTTTGGTGATAATTGGCCTAATTTATGTAAAAAATAAATAAAAATATATATATATTTTTCCATTTTGGGAGGGACTTCATCATGATAGTCTTCCAGTAGATCCGCCAATTACGTGAGACAATTTATAGTAAATTTATCACGTGCTACATAATTATTTTTTTGGTAATGAAAATTTATGTTTTGAGAAACGTTTAAAAATTGCAATTAAGAGGGATAACAAATATTTGATAGATTAAGGCTATTCATTTACTGTGGATAATTCAAGTAATATTGATTATTCGCAGAGGATCTCGAAGAAAAGTTTCGAATCAATTTAAAGACCTAAAAGAAATTGATTTAAAAATTCAGATTCCAATTTCAAATTCCCAATCTGAAAATTCGGTTACATTCCAGAGTTTAAAAAAATAAAATCTTTAAGAGGATAAGATGCTTATAATCCGAACCATTTTCCCATCCTTCTTAAAGGCCATGGAATTCGAAGACGGGGGGTGGCGGGGTAGGGAGCAAGAGATAGCTCGATCAGTGGAAAAGCCTGAAATGGCGGACGAGCATGCGCACCCCATCAGATCTTTTCCCACAGGACACACCGGGAAAGTCGGGAAAAATAGGTCGCCACCACTTCCCTCTTAAAACTTAACTACTGCCTCCCCTGGAAAAGCGGTCTTATTCGGGGTTTCCAGAGGACAGCTAGTGTCAAAATCTGGAACTCAGATATACTTAGAGTTACTTAATAATAAATGAACGTAGTCTAGTTAATTTCAATTAATAATAGAGACAAGGGCAAACTACAACATATTTTTTCTTATACTATTGAGCTAAACTCTTTCTACAAGTCTACTTCTTTTCAGCCCGCGAGTAGGTTCAAATTTATCATACAACTCGTATTCTGTTAACAAACTACTAAAGAAGAATTAACAATTATTAAGTAGTAACACTAAAATTCATTTATTTGTTCTTCATCGTCATTCATAGGTAACAGTATTTTTTTTTTTAACCCAATCAGAGATAAAAGACAGAAGAGAGGTTTACTTAAAAATATGTTTATAAGAGCTTAATTCATACTTTATTATGGACATGCCAAAGAATATTTTATTATTTTTAAGGAAAAAAATTGTATAAAATCATTAATAAAAACGGCTCGTAATTGATTAATATATATATATATATTTTAGTTAATTATAGAGTTAGTCCAAATCAAAAATAACTTAAACATCAGTACAAACAATTCTGTCAAGAAAAAGTATAAAAAAAAATCTAATGCTCTATAGGAATGTTTTATTAATAATCATCTAACCATAAACGAAATATAATATAATGTATAATACTTTTAAAGTTATTAGTGTGATAATATATGCATTAATAAATATCTATCGAGACTTAATTTAATTGAGCTATTACAAACTAATAGATAGTTTCTTTATATCATTCTTTGTTACGCATAGATATGTCTATATGTGGTAACACAATTTAAGTACATATTCCATATATATGGAAAATATTGTTTATTGCAAAAAGTCAGTGAGTACATAGGTTTTGTTTGACTTTATTTATAGATAAAAATAGACAATTAAGTGCACCGAAATGGCTCAAACTCTTTTATATATCAAATATAGTTAGAACAAGCACACTATTTTCTGATTTAAAAAAGAGAAAAACCATTAATGTTTTCATTGATTTAAGGTTATGAAATGTCACTTAAAGCATTTTTTTAATAGACTGATGACATGCTAGCGAAGAAACCCACACTTATGAATGCATTATACAACGAAGATCTTAGTTTCACGATTTGTAAAAAATAAACCTCATGATTAAAACTGTGAAAGTGAAAAAAAAAAATTAAATAAATAACAAAATAATTTGAGGCAAGTCATTATAAAAAAAAATGATTAAACATGATTCGGTTATCTACAACTTGACATGAGACAAGAGATATATACTCGGAGTTTTCCAACCGAATGGAATAGAGCACAAACGGTAGGATGACAGAAAGGGCCGGGAATAATGTAGGTGGGTGTAGGGAGCCTGTGTATTTTAGGGCAGACAGGGCCCATTGTGACCCTGGAATTAATTACACACTCCAGCTCTCCAGTTCCAGTACTACCATACACTAATACCGCCTCCCACTGTCAGATGTCTCCGTTTTATTCGACCTTCGCCAGATCGAAAATCAAACTTATGTAATCTTCTTCAAGTTAGGGTGAAAATCGTGTGTTAATTTGAGTTATTTAATTATTTTTTAAATTTTATTTATTGTTGCCATGGAATCCTCACGTTAAAATAAATCATCAAAAATATAATAGAAATAGAAATAAATCATCCCATTCTACATTTTAGAATCGAAATTGAGGATGAAGTGCGGAACTGCTTGTTAGAAAATTAGTTATGCACTTTACAAAAAAAGTCCTCAATTCGTTTAATAAAAAAAATACGATAAAAAATAATGAAATTTTCTATATTTCCTTCTCTAAGATCTAACAAATTTTAACAGAACTCAACGAGTGACAACTTGTCGAAGAATGAGAAAGTGATGGACGTAAACGCTCATAAGAAGAATAATCGGATTTAAAGATATTAATAGACCTGGTTGATTCAGTTCTTGCAGTTTTTCTGTTTGCTCTTTTGCAGTCTAAATCAAGAATCAGTTGAGTCATTAAGTGACTGGCACACCTTTTAAAAAGAATATTGACAATAATGATAATAATATCAGATGATAATAATGTCACACTCATTTCGCAGAAACAAGAGAAAATGAAATTCTTCATGAGCGTGAAAAATCAGATCTTATAATTTTCTCTATTCCAAACACAAACATGGCCTAGTCTAAATTACTATAAATAAAACGGCTTTTCATAGCTATATAGTTATTTACAGAAAAATTTGAGGCTGTGATCTTATCTGAAATTCCACGAAATTTCTTATTTTAAAGGCTTTCAAAATTTCATTTAACATCGATAAAAAAATATATTTGGTAACTTGACTATAACAATTTTATTACGACTCCCATAAACATAATATGATTAAAAAATGAATCTATTTTTCCCTCATTTTCGTTAATCCACGGGCCTTATCTGACTAATCGGTTAACCTCGTAGAAAACATAAAAAACTATAATCAAACTGAAATAACTTTTATTTTGAGACTATATATATATATATATATATATATATATATATATATATATATATATATATATATAATAGTAAATAGACAGACATAAATTATTATTATTTTTTTTTAATATTTAATGTAATTAAAATGTAAAAATAATGTAAAATAAACTATAAGGTTTAAAAATTAATACATAATTAACTATAACCATATGCATTATGAATTATCGGATTGGCTAATCTTGAGAATCGATAGTTTGCATGACGAAGATATGGTTACGATGTACCATTAAGATGACACTAAGCTAGCTATCAGCAGAAGCGAGTGGATGTTATGGTCTGGGAATTGATAAGGTGACCTTGGCCTTCAGTCCTCCTACGATATCTTGTCTATTAACACCTATTCCATGCACGTGTCTTCTTCACTATCAATATTGACCAGATAAATCTATCTTATAGTCAGCGGTGATGCATTATCAAGCACTATTGTCACACGGGTATAAATAATCATCGAACAAGTGAGACGAGGAAAGCAAGCAATAAGTCGAAGCAATTTCGATTGTAGAATATTTTTCACACATAACATAATAATTAGTAAGCCTTGAAAAAAATAAAACATAATATTAATAATAAAAAAAAAAAATAGTAATACCATTTGTTCTACATCATCATACCTTCTTCTTTATAATATTCCTTTCAGTATATAAATACATATTATAATTATCGGTGTGTTGATTTTGGAAAAGGTGTGACTCAGCATTGTTTTCTGCCTGACTCTCTAATTTTGGAATTTTTTTAACTTTTATTTTTATGTGAATTAAAATGAAATGATTAAACTATATTAATAACTATATAAACTTTAATTATAAGTTAAAGTGCTCGTGGAAGCCCTGTTCAAAAAAAGAAGAGATATAATCGCATAAACAGTAATGCTTTTAGAAAAACAGTTTGTATGTATGTATGTATTCCTGTACTAATATGTTCTACTGATATGTCCTAACAAAATGTCAACCATTACATCGAAAATGTTTCGACTCATCACCTGAAAACCTCGTTACGTGTCTAAGAAAACCTTCTATGATATATACTTGTACATAAAGCCTCTTTACAACGATTTCATAAATAACAGAAGGTATACTGCTATGCACTAACTATCCTTCCCCTGGCCTGATGTCATTATTTCCTACATTGTCAGAACATTTCCTAATTGCATTATAATTTGTAGACTTCAATATTCATATTTAAATTTTTTAGAAAATATATCTTGTTCCGAAGTTGAACTATTGGATTGTTTCTATTGGATCGTTGTTGAGAACAACCAGAATAATAATAATGCCGAACAGAAAAAAAATCTTTAATCGAAAGCCTTAGAGCGGTCAATAGAAATTAGCGGTTACTTTAATACATTTAATTAGCTAATTATTCCTTTTGAAAAAATAATTAAAAAATAGAATAACATTTGCATTGCGAATGGAAATATTTAGAAGCTTTCGCAGATAAAAGATATCTCGTAGTTTATTGAAAATTCTCTACATTTCCAAATAGTACTTTCAAATTAATCTGATCGATATTTCGCTTGAACTGTTTGTATCGTAAACAGAGAGCGGGACGACCAAATGACCCTTTCAATGAAGTCAAAGGACACTGGAAGATGCCGCGGTATCTCTTGATAGCGAACCGTGAGAATCTTCTATCTCGTGTGAACTAGGATATCCTGAGAGATAGCGTGAATTTGGGAAGTGCTGGCCGCTATCGCAGACTGCTTGGGTCAGCGGCTTACACTGGCTAGTAGCGCTCAAGATCGGAAGGTGCCGTTTTCTTATATTTTTTTTAAAATATGAATCGAGATTTTTTTTGCGGATTTGTTTCTCTAGGTGATATGCTTATTCGACAGGTAAACTATTCATAATTAACATAAATACGTGGTTTTTTGGATAATATAAGTAGATAAAGTTGTAAGCTATCTAACGATCAGGTATTCCCAATTATTTATCAAGTTCACATAGCCAATTAGGTACCTTAGATATCAGATTAATATACTTTAGTATGCGCTGTAAAATACATTTGGGATTATATTAAATAAAAATAAGTGGAGAAATGAACAGGAAGAGTTTATAGGAATGGATTCAACTCCAAGCGTGGGAAGAAAATAGGAAATAAAATTTTTTAAAAATTCCTATCTTCTTATCTTAATTTTACTTTTTTAAATTTTATTAGATAATTATAAATAATAAAAAAAATCACAGATAGAAAAGCTAAGTTGTCTACTTTAGATCATATTTTAGAAGTAAAAAATCAACAAGGCGAGATTAATAATATGAAATATTATTATACACAATAGGTCATTATAAAGAGGATGAAACGCTGAGTATTTCCCTCGCTTGCAGTATGCAGATCCGATTTTTGCTTTCTGAGATATTTTAATCCATATCTGCCATAAAACTTGGTTGCCGACAGTAATTTTTTCTTTTTCGCATTCTTAACAAGACGTCGCATTAAGATACAATTTTGAATAATAGCTCATTACAAAGAGGATGAAATGATAAACATTTAGGTAGGTAACAATATGCACGTCCGATTTTTAGTTTTTGAGATATTTTAAAACATATGCAAAAATACTTGAATTAGTCAACTCCTAACGACTTTACTCGAGTGTTATACATCGGAGATCTGACGGCGCAATCTGATTCACACTCCAAAAAAAAGTGGGAAACGCGCAGATTTCACTTAAATAATATACCTAAATTGTATTAGAATTTCGATGTGTTATTTTAACAAATGTTAGAAAATACACCAATTAACTTCTAAACTTTTTTCAAAACATTTAAATGAAATGTTTCAAGATAGTTGAGCTCTAAGATCTCCAGGTCTCATAGAAATGGATTATTCCTTTTGTGGCTAATTCAAAGATGGAATTATATACTACGACTAAGCCAAAAGTGTTTAAAAGTCAATGGTGATATTTTACAATATTTTTTTATTATTAAATCAAGACTTCGATAAACAAAAGGCTAATATATGTAAGAAATATTTTTTAATTTATGAAATTTTGTTTACTTGTAATTGGCCAATAGCATTTTAAAAAATGTAAATCTGGTAACAGCATATGTGCAACCCGGTAATTTAGCCGGTTCCTCTGAAGTTGGGAGCTCCAACCCACCCTGTATGATATTCTATATAGATATATAACATGACTTAGATACATAAATATATTATTTATTGCTAATTAAATAATTTCTGTTAACAGGCAGTAGCGAAGACGACCGCGCTAGACCGCCGGCGGAGGTGGAGCTGCGCGGTTCAGCTGGAATCTACGCACGCGAGCTGATACCTCAAGGCGCGAGGTACGGCCCCTTCATGGGAAAGTGGGTACCTAAGCCTTTGGACCCAAGCTTCGCATGGGAGGTTAGTGGAATCTCTCTAATACTTTATAACTTATTTAATACATTTGATAGTCCGGACGTTAAAAATATATCGCATGATACGTCAGTTCTATTCAGAGGAGGATCAAATTGAGAGTTGGCAAGACGACCAGTTCTGTCAGAGGACACATCATAGCTGATGGTTAAAAAAAAGTTTTATTAATTTAACCATGACTTCAATTTTCATGCATTCAAATACATTTTATACAATAAAATCGTTCATATATATAAATTATACTTAATGTATAATTAAATTACAGGGAGAATGGAAAGAGTTAAGACTGCGCGAATTCTACTATATTGCCCCTTGAAGTTGTGGAACACTATGGAGAGTTGTAAATCGAAAACCAATTTACAGTAAAAAAAAAAAAAAGAAAAACTTAGATAACAAAACAAAAAAAAAGTTCCAATACAAAGAAAAAGAAAGTATTAAGAAAAATAATAAAAAGATTAGTAGCAAAAAAATAAAAAGATACAATGAATATATATGAATTATAAAAAAAAAATGATTAAAATAAATGCACGTTTCTCATACTTATTTAAAATAAATAATTAAAAAAACAAATGAAAAGCATTAAAAAAAAAAAAAAAAATGAAATGATGATAATAAATATATGATTTTCTCAAATATTTATTTACAAATATCAGCAATATAGATATATTCATTTTTCTACAACTAGCAAGTTTTTGATCAACAAAAATGTTCAGTAAAAAAAAAAAGAATACAATTTTGGTACCCTTTTACTGTTATTTTTAATGTACATAGAAAACAGATTTTTCTTTTTTTTTTTTTTAATAAAGCTATCAGCTGAGTTCAAGAGGACTTAAAAAAAGAGAGGGAAGTAATGCGTTCCAGCTATTTTCAAATCTTATTTTTAGAATTTTTTTTTTTTTTCTGAACTGTTATCCTTATAACTTCATTTCATTATAGTTGACGTTTCACACTGATTTATGTTTATAACATTTTTATTCCTTCGTACAAATCATCCAAAGCGTCGGGGAAAAATTAATTGAAGTTGAATAAATTATTCTTATGAATTTTTCATTTGTTAGAAATAAACAATAATTCTTATAAAATAAGTTTTGATTATTAATTTTTAATCTAGATTTGAAACTGCTTCATTGTTTTCATTGAAGTTAATCAAAAATAAACATAATCATGTTCAACATATCAAGGATGCTATTTACACGGTGAGTTTACTAAATAATCTACCCTCTTCCGATTTAATTTACAATTAATATTATACAAACTGGGAAATGGGATAGGGTGGATAAAAAAGTGGACATGAGAGCATAAATATGATAAAAAGGGAACTAAGTGGGTATTATAGCGAGGATGTGGGGCAGTACAAAGCTGAGGCAAATTAAATCTGAATTATTGAGCACAGTCCGGCCGTGGGTAAACAGGGCCGCATTGTGTCCTGTCCCTTCAGAATTAGATTACATCAGCGTAACCTGGCTTGCGCTTGTTGAGGTTTGTCTCTCAGGATTCTGGGATTATCATATCCAAGATGTGTATCAAAAAACTCGAAAACCATAATACAAAAAGAGCTACGATGAAAAATAACAAAAATAATCCAACTGAAGACATGAGGATGTTAATGTAGGTGTCATTTAATTTGTAGTAGAAATTTTTGTTTGGACATTCGATTTATACTATAAACTTTTCTTTTTCTAGTTCGTGATTTCCACATACACTGATTTATTTTAAGTACAAATTAGTCTCAAGTTTCCTTATACATAATTAGTTTAGTATATATAATGTATGTAAGTTTTCTTCTAATTTTTAGTAATTTTAGCGTTTCAAATTTTATAGAAACCTATATTTTTGTCATGCATATTTGAAGAACAAAGTTTCGAAACTTTTCAGAATATAGTTGTATATTTATGAAGATTGAACCTCAAGATCATTTGAAAATATATAACATATATTTTCGTAACTTTCTTATGACTTTTATATTATTAGTTTTACAAAAAAAAAAGAATAAATGAATAAAATAAATTAGGCGTTGTATTCATTTTTTTAAATATCTCTGTTTGGTTCTTAATGATTATATTTATTATTGATTTTGCTTAGGGCTGTCCTCAATTCAATAAATTTTAATCGAATTTTTGAAATTTCAGAAATATGTATTTTCATAATTCGTATTTTTCCAAGCACTTCGAAATTTAAAAAAAAATTAAGTGAGTTTTGAGAAAAATTCGAGATAAAAGTGTAAAAACACATTAATCCGATGATACGTGAGATTTTTTCCGTGAATGCAATGTTGGTTTTACTGGCATTCAGAAGAAGATAAAAATTAATGGTTTAGAGCTCATGATCCAAGTACCATCTCTAGCTTTATGAGAAACGATAAAGATTCCAAATTTTATGATTATTGTGTATTACATTGGGTTTTGAATTACGAAGGTACCTGATTAGCATTTCAGATGAAAAGATTATTGATTAGTAAAAACCACATTAGAGTATAAAAAAAATATATTCATACTCGAAATATATAGCTTTCTCGAATGAAAATATATTATCAAACAATATTTGGTTTGATTTTAATCTATTTATCACGTGATAATTATTAATATCTTCGTTTTTACTAGTCATTTTAGATTTTAAAGAAATCAAACTAAAAAAATAAAAATGTTTTTTTATTCGATTTGTGGACCATTTTTGTTTATTTTTAATAGCTTTTTGTAATGACGAAATACAATAAAACTGTTAAACAGCTTGAGTAAAATTTTAATTAATCAATATCTATTAACCTGCCCATCAGAATCTCAGTCATTTGTCTAATTTAATAGTTATTTTTCACTATGTAATGTTTCGTTGTTATCATTTTTATAACTTTTATTTTAACACTACATATATTTTTTTCGAATGCCATAATCGATTTCAAAGAACTATTGATGTATAGAGATGTTACCAATAATAGCCGCGCTAAGCTGAGATCAAACAAACCCTATTTCTGCTCTTTTAATGACTCTACTTCTTTCTCCTGTATTTTTTTTTCCACCCTCACCACGATGACAGTGGGTCGCCAATATCCGCAGATAGTAGACCCCGGCACGTTCGCGACATGTAATTGCTCAAAGAGCCGTGCCTCCTGGGAACTAAGTCAATCGTGGATAACGATGTTGTTTAGCTGCGGTGGTTCGACCTACCTTCCTAACGACACCTCTTGCTCCAATTTCTGTTATCCCCTCTTCTAGATCTTGGCTGCTTTAAGACATCAGGCACTATTTATTATAATTGCATCTCAGATGAATACAAAAATCGTTAAGAACGATTGTTAATTTATTATTTTTTCACTTTTATATCTTGGCTCATCTACATGGGCAATTTTCTCCATTTTGTATAAATAAGAATTTACAACATTTATCTCTGTCATTTTTAAACCAAAATTTAAATTTCATCATAATCTAATTTTTTTTATTCAATAAAATTACATTTTTATTAGATGAATTATTTTTCTATTGAATTGTTTAGAGCCAACTTTTATGCAGATATAAAAAAAATATGTTATTTTAAGGATATTCAACTAAAAAAATTGTATAAAGCCTCACTTATTTTATGATTTATTTTAATTTTAAGTATTTAGTAATAAAAAATACAAATAAATGATATAATAAGTTTTATTGCAACTTATGGATTCAACAGTATGAATTACCTCAAACATGTAATTATTCACAAACCTTGAAATTGTCCTAGAGGTATAAGACGTACTTACGAGGTATAGGTTTAAGCATACTTCAGTTACTAATAAGAGTATCCAGTATTTTCAAAGCGTTGGTCCAAACAGGTTCAGCACTAGCAAATGAACTTATTTCATGACCATCATAGTTTTGAACCCAGTCATTTCCCAAACTACTAAGATATAATTATTCCAACCCTCTCCAACCAAGGATCGTTCCCTGGCAGCAAGGAGCACTACTTCCGAACGGAACCCTATATCCTTGACTCGGCCTACTTGACCCTACTCCAAGATTCCTCCACCCGCCGAAGACTCCCCAGATCGAACAATCAGCCAGACATTACCCCAGAAGGCCTCATTATCCCATTCATCGGGATGCCGCCTGTAAGCGGAGCCGCAACGGCCCTGCGCATTGTGGGCCACGCGAGCATATGCCTCTCCCCACGCCCACTTCCTCCCTAACGGACTTCCGTCTCGCCGAGGAGTACTCCTTTGTCGGGGGAGTCTGCAGCTGTCAAGTCGAGTCACAATGTTTGTCTTCGAGGAGTAAGAGACTGAAATTCGATATTTATATTGGACGATTTGTTAAGAAGTAGGATTTTAGGTAACTACAACATAAAGGAATGACTTAGATTGCTAAACGCTTCGATATGTCTCTACAAATATAGGTGTCTCGAACATATCTGTTGAACATCCTCAGGACGATTGGAGATGGAATGAAATGATAAAGTGCCGAAAATAATTGAATTAAAATTATAGAAAAAAAAACAGTTTCCGCATTTATAAATGCTATAGTGTTTCTCTAAGATTAATTACAATTTAATAAGAAGATAATTAAAACTATTTTATAATTTTTTTTACCCACACCTGTCAGTACTGACGATTAGCCGAGTCTGATTTCGTGAAAATACAAACAGTGACTTGATCGGCGTGAGGGAAAGGAGTGCTTAGTGCATCCCTTCTTGATTTGAGTATATTTTTAGGCGAGGAAGTCTGTCATTCAGCTTCTTTTGAGCCTCCGAAGCGTGTTTTCGGGCATGTTAGTCTAAGCCATGTCTTGTATCAGTGTGTTAGTATATCCGTGAAAGTCATTGTGAATTTTTTTGTAGTGTGTCCGTACGTGGTCGTTAACTTTTGGTATGCATGAAGTACCAAGAAGCTTTAGTTATAGTCCTGAAAGATTTTGACTGAAAGGTTCTAAGCTTCCGTATGTGTGTCGTTTTGGCAGTTGCGTATATTTCAGGAGCGTAAGTCCACATAGAGGCTTTAGTAAATAATATATTCATTTTCTGTTTTAATTTCAATTTTGAACGTCTTGAAATAAGTGAGTATAATAGTCGTATTCTGAGCTTTAACGTTTTTCTCTTTTTTGTTGATATGAGTTAATAATTATAAACCAATCAATTAATAATTACTGATCATAGATGCAAAAATAAATATACTTTCTTTTGGCTTCACTCTATCCATTCCTCTATCATGAAATTTCTTGTCTCTCATACATAATAAAAAAAAAAATTAAGATAAATTTAGGCTTGAAAATTATTTTCAAATAATAAATAAACTAACTTGCTCCGCTAAAAACGATGAAAATTAATGATGGGTTCAATAAATCAGAAAATGTATTATAATTTATGTCTAAAAATTAAATGTTCGATAAAAAAACTAATATAAAATACTAATTGATTTTAATTAAACTTAAATATTAAATTCATAATATACTATAATGTTATTTTGATCCCTCTGAGAATATACTAAACGTTTGGATTTCTGAGTGAGTCTCTCATACATAAAAAAAAAATAATTAAGATAAATTTAGGCTTGAAAATTATTTTCAAATAATAAATAACCTAACTTGCTCCACTAAAACCGATGAAAATTAATGATGGGTTCAATAAATCAGAAAATGTATTATAATTTATGTCTAAAAATTAAATGTTCGATTAAAAAAACTAAAATAAAATACTAATTGATTTTAATTAAACTTGAATATAAAATTCATAATATACTATAATGTCATTTTAATCCCTTTGAGAATATACTAAATTAATGTTGTTTTTTTTAATTAAATAGAAAGATCAAAAACTAAAATTAAAAATGCTAGGGCATTGAATTAAAACATGCATTTAAAGATTTACGTTTTATGCAATATATTGCGGTTTAAAATTGCATAGGAAATGTGAACATTGGCGGTTTCCCAATTGCAATTACTGTTGCGGCTAAAATATACAGCGAGATATATTTGCTAGTAATTGTTGGGTCTCTATTAGCTGTCTGAGAGGCGGGGAGAGCGCAAATAGAGCTCTCTAGAGCAAACACAATATGTATGGACTACCATAATGCGGATAGGACAAACACAACCATGATTGCGATTTCCAATAGACACACGGCTACGTGGGATCCATTGAATTTTGTACACAGTCCCTATTGAGGGCTTCGCTACAAACAATGGGCTCGCGTGTATCAAATGTTACCGCAGTCTATTTGAAATATTGACGAGTTTTTAATTGTTTTCTTAGAGCCTCCTTGTTTATTATTTATCATCGCCCAATTTCATATCGCTTGTTTACTTATTGGAATTCATTATACCGGATTTGCATTGTTTCTTCGTCCATATTAGTTCACCTTATTCATTAAAAAACAATAGATTAAAAAAATATTCTTTGACGCAAAACGGAATTTATGAATGGAAAGTCATTTTAATTCAAAATAAGCAAACATTGTGAAATTATAACGATATTAGAAAAAAATGAAATAAATAGACAAATTTGTATGGTTTTTTAATAAGCCATTAACATGACTCATGGTTTACACTACCTTTAAGTTAGCTTTAACGATCAATCAATTTTATTTTATTTTATACATTGTCAGGAATGATTTCTGAACTAATATTTCTACAAATTATTTTTTGTTAAATATTAAAA